TTTTTTATTTTAGTTAGTTTTATACAGGGCTTTCATGATGTTAAGAATAGAATTGAACAATAAGTTAATGCTCACTTTTAAAAAATAAAATAAAATTTTATTGATTCAAACTTATTAAAGTTTTAGAGATCTAATTTCAAATAAAAATAAATATTTCATCTTTTTTATTTAAAAAAACATCTTTATCTCAACTTTCAGACTTGATCTTTGGTTGGAATCAACAAATTTATTATTATTATTTATTAGTATATATATAATTCTTCATTTATTTTATTAACATCCATATAAATTTTTTAGTTTATAGTTAATTTTTTAGAAAAAAAGAAGCTCTATCCCACGGCATAGCACCCAGAATCAAACTAGTATCATCTTTGTTGTGGCTGAGCCCAACTTCAGGCGGCGAAGTCTTGTTTTGTCTTCCTGGTAGCTTGGCAGGATTTGAAGAACTATTGGCATTTGACTTGGGTATGAGCGGTGCTGTTTCTCCCCTTTTCACTTCTTAATTCAACAGCTACCACTGCTAGAAACAAACGCATCCAAAAGCTTCTCATTCGTGCCTCCATCAGTTCAGTAAGTAAGCTTCTGAAGCTAGATTGTAGCAATTTCATGCCACATCGTTGAAGTTAGTAAAGCTTATTCAGTCCATTTCACAACGTGGTTTTGGTCCGTACCCGATCCAATAACTAAACCCTCAACGAATCAAACACCCTCTGCAGAGAGAAAAGGATGGCTTCCCAAACTATGTCCCTGCTTGCAATTTGGAAGGAAGCAGCAATGCAAGCTAACCAAAATCCTCAAAATATTCATGCAATTTATACTCTGCCTAGGCAAGCGCGTATCGCTATCGATCCTTGACAGCGATATCTCATTCGGGTAATTTCATTTCTAATTAAAGTAAATTAAGACTGCTTTTGATCAAAATAAATCTGACCGTCTTTACAGCATGCTCCGCCTACTGATTTATGGATGGGCATGCAAGATTGTCGAAAAAGAAAAAACATGGCAACGAATAACCCATCTGTTTCAAGTGATGAACATGATGATGCTGTTAAGCACCGTCAAAAACCGAAGAGCTTACTTTCTCACGCAAAGAGCAAATGCAAGGTTGTCTATTGCCCACGCAGTGGTGAGCCTACCTTCCTTGAAATCAGCCTTTGCACATCACCCCTTTCCCTAAGGCTATTCATGGCTGGAAGACTCAACATCGCCTTCTTTATACATTTATAAAAGGCTAAAAATCACCCATTTATTCCCCGGTAGGTGAATATAGTGTCAATCTGGCACTTGATTGAAAAACTCTGAAAGAGTTGCAATATGGAATTTGCGGCTTAAAAAAAATACTTACCATTGAATCTCTAATAGTTTTTGCTGCAAAAGATATACATCAGACGCCATTAGAATTTATGCAGTATCTTTGGGCATCTTATGACTTGGCTGTACTTGGTCTTAAATGCCTAATAAGATAGTAATAAAGGGAGAAGCCATATAAGTTGTTGTCCTTGATTAACATTATATATATTCCTTGCAATCCCCTAAGGGTGGCATCAAGGTACAAAGAAAAAAAAAATACCAGGTACGTGATTCACGGCCAAGGAAAAAAGTAAAGTGGTTACCAGAGCTATGGCGGCTCAAAGCCTTGGCCAGGCCCCATTCCACATCATCCATGATAAATGGAACTCATAGCCTTGTTATACACAGATGACAGATACCTAATGGAATTAAACCTTGTCATCATGGAACCACCATCTTGTCTCCTTGGGAGATCGGCCACTCCTACAGTTCTTCACATAACGATCGTTGTCAGCAGGACGTTGCTGCAAACAATAACAGTGTATATATAAGAGTTCTTGGTAGAACAGGTAGAGCAGACAAAACAACTTTAAAATCTCAACAATTTTGAAACTAACCTTCACTGTTGAGCTGGATAACATGGAGAGAATGCTGATACAGATAGAACTAACAGTCATAGCCGGGGACCATGAATCATACAGTATGTCTGCAAGTACCAAGAACAAATAACAAAAATATTAATTATATACCTGTTCAAGGCACAACTGACCACTGTACCCTTGGTCGAAGAAGGGAAGCAAATGAAGACTGGTAATATTATTTTCATGAAGTGTCTTCTGAAGATGAAAGTATAACAAGTCTTTGGGCAGAAATGCACAAACCCCACCCCTCCATGTGCATAATATTTACAACCAGCAAAGCCCAAATATAGTCCACATGGTTAATAAGATAACATTAAATATATCATTCGATTTGCTTTATATTTCTATTTCACATTTGTTTTTAGCTTCTATTGTCTGACATAACATACAAGTAAACTGAGTAAATTAAGATGCAGACAGAGTAAATTCTGTTTCCCAGTTCCACAACCAACCTTCCACATATCAATGATTTACGAGCTACCATTGCACACCATTGTTTCAAACAAAACTCATTTGCCAAATAAAGCAAGATGCAATGCTTCAATCCTACTAGCCTAAGACAACCAGTACCACTTCAAAATCTCCTTGAAACAAAGCCCTTATTCAAAGAATATCAAAACAAAAGCATGGAATACAAAATAATCTTCGAAGAACAACATGACAAACTTCTTTGTACAGAAGCACCTAATAGACCTTACAATCAGAGCCAAAACCTAAGGAGGTATACTCTAAAGGCTTGGAGCGAAAGCTCATTTATAAAACCTTGAGAATCCAACTCAATCCATCTTCGGTTCATACACAATGCAACGTAGTCAGAATCTCTAGCATCAGGGCTATTATCCACTCAACAAATAACAATAAACTTACATAATAAGCAAAAAGGAGCATGATGTTAAGCAATTTAACTAAATAAATATCACTCTACCATGAAGCAGTCAATTACCTAAACAAATATGTCCATTGCTGTAGATGTGAGGATGCAGAGGAGCCGGCGGGGCGAAAATGACCTGTTCCATCAATTTAACAAAATAAATAAATAAAATCATGAATAATTAAGCACAATTATTCTCAAATAACCAATTCACATAAAATAGAAAAATTTAAAAGAAATGGAACAAATCACTAACCTGTGGTGCTTCCATAGGGTAATGTTCAGGGAAATCAACTTGAAGCTGGTAAGTTTCATTCGCATACAGAGTCCCTGCGGCTCCATTCACTTCAATCAACCATCTTTTACACCAAAAATATTCCCAAATTAATCAGAATTATATAATTATATATATATATATAAGAACCCCAATTAAAGCAAAACCAATCAAATTCGAGATTAAAACGGTACCGTTGGAGATTATCAGTGACTTTATGCTTGAAGCCTGAAGGAGGATTGAGTTGCCATTCTGCGAGCTCTTTTTGCAGCCTGTTGCAAGCGATCTTGCTTAAAGCCTACGCAAGAAAAGTCAAAGAAAAAAGAAACAATCGAGATTAGGGCATAAAATACGCATACATAGATATTCGCGTGTGGATAGAGATTTATAGAAAGGAAGAGAGACCTTGCGTGACGGAGCGGAGCTGCTTGTCATGTTTTTCCTCGGAGAGAGAGAGAGATAGAGGAGTGGCTGTCTGTGTGTGTTGTCGTTTATAAATGTTACGCCAAATTCATAAAATCTACTTTGTCTCGTTATGGAGTGGGAGTAATGTTGTATTTGGTCCCCGGATGATGAGTTTTGTATTAGTCTAATCCTTTTATTAATGTTTTTGTCCTGGTGCCATTTCTCGGTCGAACTTTTTTTTTAAATTTCTATAATTATTTGCTCTCTTTTTTTCTGTCAAATATTACCTGATGAGGTCGTGGAATCATATAAGAATTAAGTTTTTTTTTCCGAGACTAATGGATAAACTGAAAGACTGAGAAAACTAATCATAATTTTCGAGAACATATCAAGCGTGTTTGCATGGTAAAGAGCAAAGAAGAGAAAGGTAAATTTCATCTCTTTAGAAGATGAGTGTTTTGGTCAAAGGTTGTAATTTATATTCGAGTCATGTATGGTCAGATAAGTTTCGTGTTTCATTGTGATTTTGTGTTTTTAAGCTTTACCTTGTATTCTATGTTATGAGTTAGGTGGTCGGTAGACTGAAAAAACATATTTATCATGAAAAGAAAACATGGAGATGATACAATTTTTTTTTTTAAAAAAAAAAACATAATTTTCATGAAAAGAAAACATGGAGATGATACAATTATTTTAAAAAAAAAAAAAACATAATTTTTCCCTCTAGTTTTGGTACAACTTAATAACAGTGATTGGTGATGTATAGTCTCGAATGAAGCATATTTATCTGCAAGTGCTGCTCATTTCTCGGCAGATAAATGGTCAGATAACCGTCTGTATTGGATTTCGGTTCTGTGTGCACGCCAAAGCGAGCAGGACACACGCTCTTAGCAATATAGGGTTTCTCCACAATAGTAATTTTAGAATTTCATGTCAGGAGTCCTAAGTTCGCCATTCTCACCCGGAAAACCCACCTAAATGTGTAATAATTCCACCATACAATGCATGCATGAATGGGAACTTTCGAAACGCTCTGACGGGGCTACGCTTTGGTTTCAACATCGGAAACATGTTGCCAACGCCATAGTAATACTTGGAGGCATCAGCTTCGAATGGGGCGAAGAGAGCACCGGTAGGAGAAGAGTACGTTAATATTTGTATTAAAAAATAATATAAATTATATTTTAATATTTTATTTAAAAATTTAAGTAATTAGATTGGAATGATTCTTTAATATTGTATCATAACATTGATAATTAAGTGGTTATATATTCAAATTTTATTATTTTTATTTATTTGATAAAAACTAAATATAAAAAAAATATAAATTTATATAAGTTTTACTTAAAAAATTATATAAATAATATTTTGATATTTTATTTAAAAATTTAAGTTATTTAACGGGATGGATTTTTAATGATTTAGACCCTTTAGCCCTCTTTCGCATTTGGTCTATGGGCTGGGTTTAGCTACTAGAAACCCTATTTCGTATGCTACTGTTTCAAGATTTCTAGGTGTCCTGTTTAACATTTCACCCCCAATATTGAAGAAGTAATGCGGTGATCAATGCACATCAAACTGTTTATGATTTGCTTACTTGGACATGTTACTGTTACAAATTTTTCAAAACAGTGATAGAAAGTAAACATGAAAAGTTGGAAGCAGCTAAAACACTGGATGTTAGTTGTGCAAGATGTGCTCCAGGCCCATGGCAGCTCGTGCTTTCCCTGAAAATCACATTACAGCTCCAGGCTGTTCTCAGATATTTCAGTTTTAATTGCCTGGGATGAATGACTACAAAAGATGTTAGTTGTGCAAGATGCGCTCCAGGCCCATAACAGCTTGTGCTTTCCCTGAAAATCACATCACAGCTCCAGGCTGTTCTCAGATATTTCAGTTTTAATTGCCTAGGATGAATGACTACAAAAGATGTTAATTGTCTATTGCATGAAAGAAACAACGAGGCACAACTTGAAGAAGGAATTAATTTAGCTATCAACCTATTCCTTCAGTCCTCTGAATGATCTGTTACACCTTCCCTTGTTATGAAAGAACTGCCTGGTAAGGTGTTCGAGTCTTCAGAAGAATCTGCGAACTCCACTTTGTACATTTCTTCTATCATGGGCTTCCATAGCCGGACTCGAGCATTTATGAACCAATTTGAGACCTAAAACAACAATGTTTGCCCACAACTTCATCAGTGTCGAGCTAAACCGTAAAGAAAGCAACATTTTAATGGACGATAAAGCAAAATTAAAATTACTTGATTCTTTGTCAAGCCTGTCTGCGATGCTAGCATTAGCTTCTCAGATTCATTTGGATACCTGTGTGTGAACAACGAAGTCGGTAAAGCACAGATTTAAATTATAACGAGATGATGATGACCATGGACTTATCACTGATTTTAAAGCACTTACGGATGCAAGAAGTGTTCAAAAAGCCAAGAGCGAAGGATGGCTACAGAAGTCTCTGGCAATCCTCTGATCGGTCTCCATGCTTGCCTTTGGCTTTGCGTCATTCCAAGCTGTTGAAGAGACATCCGATTATGTTTGGTCTCTTTATCAAAAAAGCTAAGTTGTGACAATCCTGAGCTGGTTTTTGGTAAATCTTGAGAGAATTTTCTTCTTGTCTCATTGATCTGGGACACTATGGCATCTCTTAAGTAGCAGAAGTGCTTGGACATGGCTTGGAGCGCTAGAGCTGTGTAAGATTTGGCCACTCCTAAACCTGCCATCTCCTCAAATGATGATACCACTTCTTCCATTTGATGGTAGTATTTCTCGTATCTTCCCTCAACCTGAAATCAACAAGATACGTTATTATTAACCTGCTGACAGAGAATATGCACTCAATACTCTTTGGACTCACCTCCTCCAACAATGCTATAAGCTTTGCAATTTTAAGCTGGACTTCGTGTTTCTCAGCTTGCACAAGCCCATTTCCCCACAGTTCTGCTTTTAATTCAGAAGAAAGTCCAAGAGATCCTCCACAACGAATTAACTTTCGGACATATTTTTCATTGCTAATTTCAACTGCCTTGCAACTTACATGCACGCTTTCTTCTAGTAGGGACTGAGCAGGCTTTAAATACCTTGAATTCTCTATAGCAACAGCAAAAGATTCTGTTCCGTAAGCAGTAGGAGAACGTCTACTAAACGAGGCTGATGATGAAGTAAATCCACTACCAATGAGAGAATAGTCGTTGTTAACTTGTTCACCTCCAGGATTATAAGCTTCCCTTGCTTCTTCTTCTCTAGGAATTAAGTAACTAGGACTCATGAGATCCAAGTTAAAGGATCTCTGCCTGTACTGAACTTGAGGAACAAGCATGTGAGAACCAAGAGACAGTGATAGCCTTTGAGCTTGACGATTGGTCTCGTTTGCCGCTCCAAGAAGATTCATTAAGTGTCTTGTGTGGCTAATCTCGGATTCTTGAGCTTCTGAGGGAGCTTGTACAAGGTCTATCGACCTAGACATTCCTTCCTCAAGAGACTGTATGCTAGGCAACACACGATGAGAATGAGGAAATGTGTTACTGCCACCTAAATCTGAACCGAAAACATCAAAATTCTGGTTTTGATATTGGTTTTGGCTACTAATGGAGTCCGAGATAATGAATTGGTGTAGCATGCTAGAAGCTGAATTTGAGGATGAATCTTGTGAAACCATAATACCAGTAAAGTAGGAAGGCACAGAAGTATTGATTTGCAACTCAAGAGAGGAGTTCTATAACTTAAATGGTCAGTATGGTATAGCAAAGAAAGCATCAGAGCTCAAAATACCAGGTTTGATTCCAGAATATTGGCTTTGCAAGCCAAAAAAGGCAATATCTAGCCTGGAAGGAACTACAACTTGGGTTATCAACTTCTCATGCATTCATGATAACAAGAAGAAAGACAAGGATCATCAAGTAGAAGGTCACAGACTCGCACAAGATCTGGCTTACAGCTCTAGAGTGGCATTCTGTCCTAACTTGGATATAAAGCAACAGGAATCAAGAGCCAGAAAGAGGTACTGCATTATTAGGCATGACAAGAGATTACAACCAAATGAAGTTCATAATTATAAAGCGAATAACTATTGACAAATAAAAAGATCCAACAATACCAAGCCAAATGAAACCCAGTTGAGTGCAAATATGTAGAAGCAGAATTGAAACCAGAACTGCAAGTAAAACAAATTTCTGAAAGAATACATCAGAACATATTCGGAATGGGGAGAGAGAGAGAGCGAGAGGTGAAACAAAGAGTTCCAATATGTGGAACCCTTAAAATAGATGAAGAGAAAAAGAGCTGGTGAAAGTACAGTGCAGGACCGTGAGAACAGAAGAAAACTAGTCAAGCCAATATCTTAATTAGTCTTTGCCAACTAACTCCTGTCCTGATCGAACTAGTTGTAAGAGTTTCAAACCACCCTTTAAAAGCTAAGATGAATTCAATTAACTTTTTTAAGCATAAAAAACAGTGGATGATAGAAGTCTAAGGCTACAAATCCACCAGTCTCTGAATTCTATATACTTTTGTTTAGAGCATAACAATTCCCTGAAGAAAGTGAGTAACTCTCTCTCGGAAATAATGCGCAAGTCTAAAATGTAAGCACCTAAAAGCTATAATGCTAAGAGACAACCCTCTGCTAGTTCATTAAATGTGAGAAGCTAGTTGGTTGAGTAAAGATGCAGAAGCTGAGGGCAAGATATGGTCCCCCTCCCCCAACTTCTCCGAGTAAAAACCAACAAGCAAGAGCATCAATCTTTCAGCTTTAATGCTTGCAGTTACATTTCTTTGGGAGACTCAAAAGTACTTCCAGCTAAAAACAGTGTAATTCTCTCTCTCTTTCCTGGCTTGTCACAAGGAGAGTTCTTTAATATGTAAAATTTGTTTTGTTCATTGTGTTAATGTCATCTGCAAAAGGTAGAGAAAAAGCTGGCTATCTTTTGCACACTCCCAGTTTTAAGATTGTCTGTTTCTGAGACTGACCATATGGGAATATCTAGCTTTTTCTTGCTAGGTGCTGTAATCATGCATAGAGATGTTGAAAGGACACTGAATATCATGATCTTTCAAGCGCAAGTAGAAAATAAAAAATCCATCTTGTGCCCTCAAACAAAGAAAGAGTGAAGCTACAGTCTTGTGGATGTGGTTTTGTGTGCTGATAAGACTGATTCTAGTTGGTTTTTTTTTGGGCCGGGCCTTTGGATGCTTTAGCAATGATTCCATCTTTGTTCCTTTAGCCTCCTCCAGTTGTCGCTCTCTGGTTCCCTAACTTTGTTGTTTATCTTGGAACTTAAAGGCCCACACTGATAAGATTAAAGTGTCTGCATTTTCTGAATTTTTTCAGCAAATTCAAAAGGATGAGTTCTGTCAGCTTTATTAGCAATTGTTTAGGCCATCTAACTTGCCACAAGCAGAACTTGTAAAACCCAGTTTTGAACTTGCCTAGCTTTAACTAATGGCCTGAAAAAATTAGATCAGATGAAGTGGCTTTGTGATTTTCATGATAAATCTAGAAATTAGGTTCAACATGACAATCATTCCCCATAGCTTGGAAAGAGAAAACTGTGGGCACTAACACTGATAATTGCGTGGTCGTTCAATGTTGCATCGGCTCAAATGGAATACCGGTTACCTCGGCTAACTAGAATGTGACTCACCTTGAGCGCCAAGCAGGAGGCAGGGTGAAGGGCATGGGAGAGACAAAACATCTCATTGTGCAACTTGAATAGATTCACTTTCTGTGATATTTGAATATAGAACTGGCAATTGATTTGCTGAATTTGTCTTATGGACTTTGCAATCAACACTTTCAATGCGCGTGCAGTTTATTTGACATGATCATCTGTCGCATTTTGTCCTGCTAGATTGATGTTCTTAGAAAAAAAAGCTAGATTCTGTTAGAAAACGTAGAAAGCAGTACAGGAATAGGCGTGCCTCTGTACCTGTTACCTGTCCCTATAGTATCTTCAGTAAGTAAACGTAAAAACATCCTGTTATCTATCCTTTTCTTTTTAAAAACAGAAAGAAAACCAGAGAGTGCAGGGGCGGTTCTTTAGACCGACCGCTAAAATTATAGGTATGTCATGCATTTGACTTCATTTAGGTCGGTTACACAAATGCTGGAAAGAGTACACTACTTCTGAATCTATTAACAGGAGCAGATTGTTTGCTGAAGATCGGCTATTTGAGACTCTGGGTCCAGCTACAAGAAGGGTTCAGGTCAGTCTAACAAGTTAGGAAAAGAAAAGTCTTCGTTACAACTTGCTTAGGGCTTGCATAATTATGTTCTTGCAGAACCGAACAATTATTGATTTCCAATTTGTAATGTAGACTTTTTGTGTTTATGAAACCAAAACGTTTGTGGCAACCTGGCTTACAGAAGCTGGCAGCATTTACTCACATGAGATGCTCGTATTGTTTGGTTTCTTCCAGATGAAGAACGGGAATGTTTTTTCCCTGTGGAATCTTTTCCAATGGTTTTTCACTTGAAACAAGTAGATAACTTTCGGTTCTTGCAATGTTAACTCTGTATTGATAACATCATGGCCACTGCTGCTTATGGCATCTTGACAGGGTCAGTGATGTGAAAAAAACTTAAGATGGAAGCAGAGAGAAAACAAGATGTTGTTTGCGTGTCTGCTATGAATGGCGATGGGTTACAAGAATTCTGCAATTCAGTTCGGGAAAAACTGAAGGTATTGAGTTGGTGAAAACATTATGGTGTTTCTCGAAAACGGATATTTCTGTTCATTCTTGCTACCTGGACTGGAGTTTCAACTGCACTTGAAAACCTTAACAATTTTCATTTGTTGTAGGATTCTATGGTATGAGTAGAAGCTTTGGTTCCATTTGACAAAGGGAAGCCTCTCAGTATCATACATCAGATTGGAATGGTCGAGAGAAATGTGAGTATTTTCTAGATTGTTTTCATTTTCTTCTACTGAGAACTGATCCTCTTATTTTTTATTTTTCTCGTAAATTTTTCTTTCTACTCATTTGATTATGAATATACAGAAAGTGGGACATTGATCAAGGCACACGTCCCCCTTCGTATTGCAAGGTTCCTAACTCCTATGAGGCAGTTGTGTAAATCATAACTCTTTAGCTTATTTGATGCTCTTGTAGAACGGCTAGTACTATCCATGCCGTTCATTGTCATGTACATATGAATCATCCGACAGTCATTTCTTTCCTGTTTCTATGGGGGAGAGACCACCAATTTTTTTTAAATAGCCTTTCTTTTACACTTCATCCTCTCAATGAAGGCTTCTAGCATATGATACTATCACGGAAGTTTCAGTATCTTCCCAAGTGTAACAAATTTGGAGAAGGACCATGGTTTTCTGTTTCGGCATGAATGTTTAACCACCGTCATTGCTGAAGTAACAGCTCATGTAATTTGAGCTGACCTTTCGTCAAGCAGCGGTGGCGTATAGGAAGACTTTTACTTGTTGACAACTGAAATTGTCAAGGTTTTTATGATTTTTGGTCGGCAAGTCCTGATGTCTGCTGTACCATACAACTATCAACGGTAACAAGTCATGATGATCGAATAGAGCAGTGTGCTTCTTTGTGTTATGAATTCGACATTGCAAGACAAGCATGTGCAATATTTAGATAACCGAGTGGACCCAGTAAATTTTGCTCGGAAACCATGTTGGGCTGCTGCCTTAATGAGTAGTATTGCAACTCCAAAATGGAAATCTGCGTCTCCATATCGTTGTTAAAGCTCTTGACTCATGGACTAAGCATACAAGTAGAACGTGTTGGATTACTTGGACTTGCCGTGAGAAAAGATTAGAATATTATTATCAGGGGGTGCTGCGTCTGGAAGGGTCAAAACGTTATAGATTGTAGTTCTATAAAGCAGAAGCTAATCCACTAATAGTAATTTTTTAATTAGTCATCTTACTAATATTTGATGAGCTTTGAGGATTTGAGATCCCTGCGGTTGTCATTTTTCAGCAATGGACTAATGGTATTTCTGTAACCCAACTACCCAAGGGCCAGCCGCCAGGGACATAGCCATTCCCATAAGCGCTTGAGCATAATAGTCGAAAGGAAAAAACACTGCGTCAACCTTTTTTATTTGCTCGATTTCTTTCTTTAACAAGTCGGTTAGCTGGAGGGAAAGTGAAAAACAAATATATGCAAGAGTCTTTTGAGTGGCGTCACTAGTTAAGCTCATGACATGGTGAAATCGTGAAGTTGGGAGGCAAACTAGCGCACGGAAATACTCTTATTATGGTCTTGCCTAGGAGCAGGGACTACCAGAAACACTTACTCAACCAAACCTATCAGCAAACACATGGATGCACTCTCCAATTCCGATTCCAAACGAGGCATGCAAAAAAGAAAGACATGGTCATAGACTCATAGCTATCAATATTACTTGGTGTTGAAGGATTTGGTGAGGGACGCGTTTGAGTTCCACATTCAAGTAGCAAGGATGGCAAACAAAGAGCCCATGACAGTCTTCACTTCACTTTAGTGATTCCTCTTATATCAATGGCTTTCTGTAAAGTGAAATTTAATTTCATTGTCACTATTTCTCTCCTCTCATCAACAACGTTGCTAGCTCATCCTGGTTTTGGCTGGGGTGGTCCTTTTGGCGGTGGCTCGTTTGGTCTGTTCACTGAGTTTATCAGTTTTCATGCCCCCAAGCAAATGACACTGTCATGTCAGTGTTAAGAAAAGCTATTGAAGGACTCCCGGATGGTTGCCTTAATATCCGCACAGGAGACAGTTTGAGGGCATGCTTCTTCCAACTTAGCCTTGATTTCATCAACCACTTCAAATCCTCTGAGGGAATTCTTGTTTGGTGCTGCATTCTTCTCACTCACGATCTTTGCACTATCGTCAACAATAATGATGCATCACAGCCCTGCAAGATCAGTAGCATTACAATTTAATAAAGTAATAAAGTGCTTATAAATTCGTTCAAGGCCATATGATACGAAAATTTCAAAGAAAAGGTAACAGATTGTGTAAAACGAAGATAACATATAGCATAGAAGAAAGCAATCATGAAAATGAAGCCTTAGCTCGTGCCTCAACTGTTCTAGCAAGCAAAATCTCCAATCCTCTAAGCTTTCCTTGGCTTATTAACCCCTTTTTCTGCTAACAAACACTGGCTGTTGTCTTGGTACAGAGTGGTGGATCCAATTGGGAACTCCCATTAGGAATAAGGCACTCAGACTGCGAGCCTGAGTGGCTCAAACAACAACATTCCCGATCCCAACTCTACTATCCAAAACCTCGTAACATTTTTCAAGCGCAAGGCCTTTATGAGGTCGACCTTGTTGCTCTCTCAGGTTAGAACACAGACATCCTTCAGCTATCGTTAGTATCTGTTTCCCATCCCTTCAGAACAAAGACACATAAATAATTATTCTGAATCTTTTGATTAATTTGAAAATTGTCATGTTTCAGGAGGGCATACAATTGGGGTGGCAAGGTGCGTGATCTTCAAGCAGAGACTGTACAACCAAAATGGAAACAACCAACCAGATCAGACTCTACAGAAAAACTGTTCCTTCGATCTGAAGTCAGTGTGTCCATTCTCCTTTGGACTTGGCCTCTCCAGCAAAATTCGACAACTCTTGCTTCAAGCTCTTACTCTGGGGCAAGGGGCTTCTCACTTCTGATGAAGTGCTTTATACAGGAAAGGATGGCAAGACTATACAGATGGTTAAGAGAAATGCTGAAGATGAGGACCTGTTCTTTGTGCATTTTGCCAAGTCTATGGTTAAGATGGGAAACATGAGCCCTCTTACAGGATTTAATGGTGTAGTTGGGAGGAATTGTCGCCTTGTTAATTAGAAAAAAAAATAGTAATCATATAAACATGTGAAGAAAATATTGTATTATAAATGTATTGTATCTAAGCAATTTTGTATGGTATTATAATTGCTTTTATGGTTATGATTTGAAAAAAATTATTTTATAAAAAATATTTTTGATTAAAGTTAATATGGTATTTCTGTATGTTTGGTTAAAATTATAGTTGAAATTAAGA